TTCAATGATAAAATCGAAAGTATTGCTAACCTTACTGAGGCTTATGAACTATGTTCAGGATTGAAAAAAAATGCTTAGTTTCAGTTAGAGGTAATTGATGGGGTGTTCATAGAGTGTTAGCCTCAAAAAATGACACCGTGGCATACTGAATATTTTAAGCTAAAAGAATCTGAGAAAACAGCAGAAGCAGGAGGATCACTGTTACCTTCCCCCACCCTTCTTTCCTAAAAAAGTCATAAAAACCAGGAAGGATTTTCTTTTTTCTTTTCTTTTTTTCAGTACTGGGGTTTGAACTCAGGGACTACACCTTAAGCCACCAGCCCCTTTCTTGTGATGGGCTTTTTTGAGATAGGGTCTCACAAACTATTTGCCCAGGCTGGCTTTGAACCTTGATCCTCTTGATCTCTGCCTCCTGAGTAGCTAAGATTAAAGCCACTGTTGTCTAGCTGGCCTTGAAGGATTTTCTGACCTTCCTCTGAGGCAGGTCATAAGACTCTCAAGTAAGAGGTGCCCTTCCCATACCTGGGGGAAAGGAAAATACAGGGACACAAAGAGAACACAGAACCAAATAGGCCTTGATAAGTTTCTCCCCGTTTATTATATTTAGCTCATATTCCCCTCTGCCCATCTCATTTCTCCTTGACTCTCCATTCTTTATCAAACCCAGTATATAAAAAACACTTAGTTTTAACGTTTCTTCAACTTGTCATTTCCTTATGAAGATTTCTGTGTAATATAAAATTTGTATTAAATAAAATTACATACATTTCTCTTGTTAAGTATAAGTCCTCATGTTAAGTGCTCAACATGATATAGGATGGGTAGGATGAAAGATATTTTTCCTCCCCTAAATTAGTAAAATTTAAAATGTAATCATACACCCACCCCCATACAAATTCACAAATTTCCTGGATCCTATTTATAGGGCCTTTGGGATTTGTGGAACCCAGCTAAAGAACTGAGCTAAACAAGTAAAATAATGAAATATTTAACAAAAATCTCATGGTATGGTCAATTTAAGGGGAAAATTTTAGCAATAATTTCAAACTTAGAGAAATAAAAAGTTTATTTTAAAAAGGCTTAAGCTGGGTGTGGTTGTATGCACTTATAATCCCAGCATTTAAGAACCTGAGACAAGCTGCAAGTTCAAGGCCATCCTGTCTCAAAGTAAATAAATAAATAAATAAATATGTATGTATATGTATATAATATGTATATGTATACATATATGTGAATTAAAGTGCAATATATTTGCATATTGTAAGAATTTTTGTAAATGCCACAATGTACCCCCACCCAGCACAACAATAAAAGTTAAGATACATAAATTGTATAATATTCAAGTAACTATCAGTTCTTGAGGGTTTTTAAATCTTATGCTTTAGTTAAGATAAATCACATGGCACAAAAATCAAAACTATGTAACGGACAAATTCTCAGCAATTCGAATAGCTATGTTCCTTATAAAATTACTGTGAGCATTGAATTAGCAAATACTGAACCATTACTTCTAAGGGAAATACAGATCAGGTTCCTGTATGCCTCTGAACACCAAATACTTGTCACCTGGTCAATACACATTATTACATTATTTTACAATATTCTTTTGTTGTTGTTGTTCTTGGTGGGACTGGGCTTGAACTCAGTCCCACCCTCAGTCAGTGCTTGCAAAACAGGCACTCTACTGCTTGAGCCATGCCTCCAGTTCAATACACGTTATTTTATGTGTATTTCTGTGTAAAGACAACCTTAATAAATATTGGTGATTCCCTCACATTGAACTAACAGCCAACAACATTGTAACTCCTACCCGGGCCAAATTGATCTAACACATATATTTTCTCCCTTAAGCACATCACAAGCTTCTTATACCTAGGAACACTAGACAGCACTTCAGCACTATTCCTTCCATGTCATTAAGTAACTCCAGTTTGTCCCCACCAAAAAAGGAATGCTTGATTCCAATGTGAGAGCTGAAACAAGAAGGCAACCTCATATTGTGTGAGAACATTTGGAGATTCAAATTTTTTGCTGTTTTGTGCATGTATGCAAATAATTGCAAAAGCTGTATTAAACTGATAGTAATTTGGAGGGTTAAAGATAAATTAATAAGTTTATGAAATTAATGAATTATAAGGATCATTCTCTCTCTCTGCATAAAAGAAACTGAAAAATCTCTATCCACTGCTTTCCCCATAGGCTTAGATCTCTCCTTAGAAATAAACACTGTTACTAGTTTCTTGTATCTTTCCAGAATTTCTTATGCACATATAGGCAAATTTTAAATATATTACATTTTAGCACTAATTTCAAATAGAAATTGTATAAACTTGAACGATAGTATATGTACGTATATATGTAAAAGCACTCCAAAGATTTTGTATATATATGGAATTTACCAATTCCTAGACAGCAAAAATGTTGTGTTCTATACAATACCTAGTAGCCATTATTAAACAACTCAAAGGCACATTCAAGATGATACTGTGACTAACACTATTTGTAACTGAGAGTAGTCTTAAGAGGAATATCTATAAAAGGCTAAAGTGCCATTCTCTTATCCAATTACATCAGTAATATCTTTAAATCAATGATAGTTCTCTTAGCTGTTTCTTCTGGAATTTTCCTTCAGGTTTGAAATATATTTGTATTGTCACTTTGACAATGGTTGTATAAAGTATCTATAGACTTACTGTTATGGTAAATTGAGGTTTCACATCTCTTGCAACAACTCCCCATTTCTCCACTTCTATTCTCAAAGTATAATTAGTGATACAGAAATCAGTAAATAGTGGTTGAATTTTGATTCTATTAATCACAGCTGAACTGCTTCCTTTTTTGCTTTTTCCACAATTGTTAATGAAAACTATAAATGCACTTAATGTGTAGCATAATATCATAAATTTAATATACTATCTTTAGGTAGTAAAGTGGTTTTTCTGCCAACACTGATATTTGTTGTGATCTTGGGAAATCAACTTTGCCTGAATCTGTTTTCTGGAGGAGGAAGAGTAAGAGGAGGAAGGAGAAGAGGAGGAAGAGAGGGAGTGAGAGGAGGAGGAACAAAAGAAAAAAGCAGGGGTAATATCTGCATCTTCCTGACAAGGTTCTTACAAGGAGCAAAGAATAAGACTGAATTTGAAAGCCTTTGTAAACTTTAAATATGAGAGAAATATATGGCAAAATAGCTATCAGACCAAAGTTTTCACTATTTTTTTATCCTGAAAAATGGTTCTAGTCATTTTTCTCCCAAGTGGGTGAATTTGGGGAAATCTTTTCATATACGAAGTAGTCATTTCCTTCATAGCAAAGACATATCAAACTCTGAAAAGTTTTGTTTATACTACTAACAATTTATTTGGATAACAATATGTAAAATTAGCAGCTTGTACTACTGGACAATCTCCAACTGCAACACGATCTGATTTTATTTTGTTTTTAAATGAAACATAGATTACTTTCAAAGCTATCCTTTGTTCCATAGTGATAACACAGTATAAAGTATGTCCCGCATCATGCCTGTAATCCCAACACTTGGAAGGTTAATGCAGAAGAATTCTGGGTTCAAAGACAGCCTGGGCTTCATAGCAAGAACCTGTCTTTAAAAACCAAACCAAACCAACCAAACAAACAAAAAACTAAGGAGACTGCGAGGGTAACTGGTTTCTTAAAGACACAAGAGACTGGAAGGTAGGAATATGTGGCAAATTTGATAACAAAATCAAAAGTCAGAAAACAATCAGAAATGAGTAGGATTTATTAAATGGTGGCTGGGAATACTTTGGTCCCTGAGGGAACACTTTGCACATGCAAGTCATCATCCCCTGACAGCATGTGGTTTTTACACAGCGGTGTGGCCTTCCTGTGTGTACATTCCCAACGTGCCTTGCGCAGCAGTTGGCGGGAAAAGTGACCTCGCCTAGGGGTCAAAAGGCTACTGTTGCGCTCCCAGCGCGACCGTTGAAGGAAAGCGCATGCGCACAGGGCAAAGCACGTGCGGCATCTCGCAGCTTCTCCGGTCGCCGGCCCCTCAGACGTTAAGTAATATATATATGTTATTTGTTTTTTGTTTTGTTTTTTGACTTTTTAATCTCTTTTCTGTCGCGTCCCGCCCACTTTTAAGTTTTTTTAAGTCTTAATGGCGGAACATTTTAGGAAATATCTATTATTTCTCACAGTTCCAGAGATAAACCGTTAATGCAGGCCGCTTGCCCAGGCTTTATTAGAATAAACGTAAACGTCTCTAGTAAATAGACCCTTCTTTGACGTGTGGCTTTTTTTCTGTGAATTTTTTCTAGTTGAATTGTCTAAGAAAAATGAAATTGGGACCAAAAAAAGAAATTTATATCATTATTCCAAGGTTATAATTGGAAAATCAGAATCAGGCATAAAAACTATATTTTTGGTTGCTCTCTGTTCTACAAAGGGGACACCGGAGCCATGCTGAAGGAAAGTCACCTGATTGGCATATTTTGAAACTGTTTTAAATTAAAAGACATTAAAGAGCTTGCAGGGGACGTTTTTCATTACTTAATGCCTACCTGGACAATGCCTTAAAATGACAGGGGGGGAGGGGAAAGGGTGTGGGTGCGCATGGGAGGCAGAGGCGAGGGTCGTGCCAGCTCGCCCTCCCTCCTTTCCTTCCCTTGTTCCTTCCCAGCTCTCTCCCTCCTCCTTCCCTTTCTCTCTCCCTTTCCTCCTTCCCTCCCTCGATCTTTTCCTCCTTTCCTCTTTCCCTCCCTCCCTTTTTCCTTCCCTCTCTCTTTACCTCCCTCTTTCCCCCTTTCTTTCCCTCCCTCTCCTTCCTCCCTCCCTCTCCCCCCTTCTTTCTCCTCCTCCTCTCTCCCCCCTCTTCCCCCACTTTCCCCTGACTCCCTCACTCTCTGTCTCTCTTTCCTTCTCCCTCCCTCCCTCCCTCTTCCTCTGTCTCTGTGGAAGATGGTGTGAAACCAGGACCTTAGTAAAACAGCAATGTGGGCCTTTATGGTGTTTGAGGATTCTGTTGTAAGTAAAGAAATTCTCAAATTTATTCTGATGAAATTCTAGAACACTAAAGAACAAAATAAGATATGAAGTTAAACCTTGTATTTGTATCCCAAGGTGGAATTAGAATATTTTATCAGAAGATGGCCACTGCACAGATGCAGAGGACTTCCATGGTATGATTTCTTGTAATTTAATTCTTAGATTTTTTTTTTTTTTTTTTTGTGGTACTGGAGCTTGAACTCAGGGCCTACACCTTGAGCCACTCCACCAGCCCTTTTTTGTGAAGGGTTTTTTTGAGATAGGGTCTCCCAAACTATTTGCCCAGGCTGGCTTTGAACCTCAATCCTTCCGATCTCTGCCTCCTGTGTACCTAGGATTACAAGTGTGAGCCACCAGAACCTGGCTTAATTCTTTGATTTCTTGAAGGTCCAATTACTCTAATTTTTGAAAGTTAAAATCAGCCAGGGCGCAGTTGGCTCATGCCTGTAAATTGTAGCCACTTGGGAGGTAGAGATCAGGAGAATCACAATTGGAGGCCAACCCTGGGAAAAGTTTGTGAGACTCCCCCCGCCCATCTCAACCAATAGTTTGGTGCAGGAAGTATAAATAGGTGACTCTCCATCCAGGCTGTCCCAAGCAAAAAGTGAAACCAAAAATAACCAGAGCATAAAGGGTTGGAGGAGTGGCTCAAGTGGTAGAGCACCTGCCTTGAAACCTGAAGCCTTGAGTTCAAAGCCAAATAGTTGGAAAAAAAAAAAAAATCAGGTTTAATGACATGGGACACTCTGTGTTTTGTTTTGTTTATTAAAAAGGTGTTTGGTAAACTTTTTTTTTTTTTGCAGCACTGTAGTCACTCTGCCAGCCCTGTTTTGCATTTTGTTTGTTTTGCAGCTATTCCATCTGCCCATAGCTGTTTTCCCTGTTGAGTATTTCTGAGATTGGGTTTCTCAAACTGTTTGCCCAGGCTTGCTTCAAACCTCGATCCTCCTGATCTCTGCCTCTTGAGTAGCTAGGATTACAGGTGTGAGTCACTTGTGCCCTGCTAAACTATTTTGAATTAATGGGGTGCTGTGCTGGATGTTTGGTGAATTAAATTGCTGGTTCAGACTTAATTTACATTAGGTGTTAATGTATGCTGTTCCATTGCTTTGATGAAATTTTTCACAACATCCACCCCTAGAAAAATGTCTGTGACTCAGAGACAAAGACAAAATTGTCATTTTTGCATAGGATCTTGCTTAATAGTTAATCTGTGTTAAACCTATTCGGTGACTAAAGAGAAAACCAGTGTGATCTATCCATGTATTGCACATTTACAGTTAATCTGCAAGGAGATTCTTAAGCACTTTTTGTGCACTGTCTTTAGGCTATTTATCCTAGTAACATCCTCACATGTTACAAGCTGCTCTGGCTTTCCCTGGATTACTAACCAGTATGGGTTGGAATTCTTTGGGAGAGTACCAAGCTTTTGCAAAACTGGATCTGCTTTATTTATTTATTCACTTACTTACTTTTGGAAACTTTATTTTTAATCGGTGTAAATAAGATGTTTTAATTTCCCTCAAATTTTAGAGTGCATTGGTATTTCCCAGTAAGATATCATCTGAGCAGCAGTCTTTGGTATTAGTGAAGAGACTTCTGGCAGTTTCAGTATCGTGCATCACATATTTGAGAGGAATATTTCCAGAATGTGCTTATGGAACAAGATATCTAGATGGTAATGTAATATTTAAGACATTAAAATTTTTTGGCTTACTCTTAAACTATAACTTTTGCCTTAGAGATTGCATTTTTGATAGTAGCTTTATTAATACAATTCACATATCTGACAATTCACTCACTTAAAGTATGAAATCCAATGATTTTTAGTATATTTGAGAGTTATGCACTATCACTAAAATTAAAAAAAAATTTCATCACCCCAAAAGAAGTCCCATACACATTAAGTCACTGTCTGCTCCTCTTCCCAACTTTCCATTCCTGGGGCAAACATCAATGTGCTTTTTCTTTGTATGGATTTCTCTATTCTGGACATTTCATATAAAAGAAATCATACAATATGTGGTTCTTTGTGACTGTCTTTTTTCACTTAGCATAATGTTTTTGAGGTTCCTACAGGTAGCATAATTAGTACCTACCCCTTTTCACTGCTGAATAATGTTACGTTGTATAGATATACTCAACAGTTGATTGAACATTTGGATTGTTTCCTCTAACTGTTACATATAATACCACATTCATGTTCAAGTTTTTATTTGGGCATCTAATTTTTTTTTTTTTGTGGTCCTGGGGTTGAACCCAGGGTCCTACAAATACTAGGCAAGTGCTCCACCACTTGAGCCACTCCTCCAGCCTAAATGTTTTTTTTTTTATATATTCATTCAATACCTTTGAAAGCACTTAATTATAAAATTTTCCCTCAGTTTCTCAAGTATAATTTCACTTGACATTCCGCTTCTAATGATTAAAAATTAGATTAAAACATTATAACTTTGTGCAGTGTAAGTATATATTCTTGTGCTGTTTCAAAGAAAATATGGCTAGAGGTGTGACTTAAGAGGTAGAGTGCCTGCCTAGCAAGTGCAAAACTCTGAGTTCAGACCCCAGTTCCACCAAAAAAAAAAAAAAAAAAGCGAAAATGCAGCCAATTAATACTACAATAACAACTTATTTCTCAACACATAATATATGCATAATATTGTGTACCAACTATGTACTGGGAAATATGTTAAACACTGTTATGTATATTATTTTGTTAATATATATTATAGTCTAAAGTATTATACCTATTTTTCAAATGAACAACCTGAAGTAGAGGGATGCTCTCAATCCTTTCCACTGTTGTTACATGTTGCTTCTTTGCAGAGTTCTTTGTCTTTGATAACTAGTGAACTTTTTGCCCTGTTACAAGTATTTCCGTGGGATAAGGGTCCATAGCAAATATTCTAACATTCTTGGATATCAATAATATGAAAGCATTATAAATATAATTTTCTATATTCTATAATTTTTGAGAATGACAGGAGGCAGAGGTGGGAAGATTGGTCTGAGGCTAGCTCAGACAAAAGTGCAAGACCCTATCTGAAAAACAATCTAAAAGCAAAAGGACTTGGGGAGGGGGGCATTGCCCAAGAGATAAGCATAAGGTTTTGACTTCAATCCCTTGTGCTGCCAAAAATAAATAAATACATAAGTGGAAAATTGTCTACCCATCAACTTAAATCTTAATCAGAATGGTGGAATTTTATAATAAGGCATTTTATAATGTAAAGAGTATTTTCTATAACCTTTCTTTACTTATATTAATAATATCAATCATTTGGAAATTCATTGCCATTAATAATATACCTGCAATACATAGCTGAAGAAAATCAACTTCATTTAAAATGTCTATTTGTTTACTGTTCTTAAGTAACTATATTTCATCATTCTTGGGTTTAGATCTGTGTGTCAAAATTTTGAGAGAAGATAAAAATTGTCCAGGTTCTACCCAGCTAGTGAAATGGTAAGTAAAAAAATATCCAAAGATAGAAAATTATTATTTTCCTAAATCACTTTTTTTGTACATTGGATACCTTTTAATATGTAACCAAAGTTTAGTGATTCACCTTTTAGCACTGGGTACCATTTTTGTAGATATATGAATTTATGCATTTAAATTATCCTTTCTTTCATGCCCCATGTAACTAGCTTCATTTTGCTATTATTGCTCCCCTCAAATAGCCATCAGATACTTTATATTTTTCCTTTTATTCTGCATCATTTTTTTCTGCCACATTGTTCTTATGTTTTATCTTGTTTTATTTTAAGCTAGTTAAAATGAAGGGTGCTTTAATTTTTAAAAAAGTATTATTTTGTAATAAGTAATATGGAAATTTATGAAAAGTATTTTTTTGGAAATGTATTCAGTCTAAAAATGAACCTTTGATTTTTTATTTTTTTAGGATGCTAGGCTGCTATGATGCTTTACAGAAAAAATATGTAAGTCTTTCAGTATCCCTTTCTCCTTTTTGCTCTACTTTATATTAAACAACTCTAACAAGAACCAGCATGTAGGGCTGGGATGTAGCTCAGTGGTACAGCGCTTGCCTAGCATGTGTGAGGCCCTGGGTTTGATCTCAGCACCAAAAAAGAACCAGCATGTAGTAAAACTTTAAATTAACTTGGACATAGGACCATCTGAGTTACTCAAAAGTCTGAGTATTTGAATATTGTAAAGACCAATCTTCAACTTATTTAAAACTAATAGAATCAATCTTAAGCAAATTTTGCTAAGCTAATTTTAGTTAATTAACAATCACTAGCATTAATAGCACGTGCTAATTTACAAGAAATTAATGGATTAAAAAAATCTTTTAGCATAGTTCATTCACTAGTTTTACATGCATTCTACAGGGCCTCACACTTGCTAGATAGGCACTCTTACCACTTGAGCCACTCAGCCAGCCCTATATTTTATGTTAGGTTTTTTTGAGATAGGGTCTCCTGAGCTGTTTGCCTAGGGCTGGCTTCAAATCACAATCTTCTTAATCTCTGTTGCTAGAATTATAGGTGTGAGCCACCGGCACCCAGCTTGCTCTGGTTATTTTGGAGATAGGGTCTTACTTTTTGCCCAGGCCAGCCTGAACCATGATCCTCCCTATCTCACCCTATCATGTAGCTAGGATAACAGGAGTAAACCACAGTCCCAGGCTAGTGGTTGAGACGGGGTCTTCCTAACTTTTGCCCAGGTTAGATTCCCAATCTCACCCTCCCAAATAGCTAGGATTATAGGTATAAACAACCTGTGCCCAAGTAAATTATTTCTTAATTTCCGTTCAAAAATAAATTTCCTTGGGCTGGGTTTGTAGCTCAGTAACAGAGTGTCTAACATGGGCAAGTCCCTGAGTTCAGTTCTCAGCATGGTAAAAATCAATTTCCAGCCAGGTGCTGGTGGCTCACATCTGTAATCCTAGCTACTCAGGAGGCAGAGATCAGGAGGATTGTGGTTTGAAGCCAGCCCCAGGCAAATAATTCTGTGAGACACTATCTCAAAAATACCTAACACAAAAAATAGCTGGTGGAGTAGCTCAAGGTGTAGGCTCTGAGTTCAAACCCCAGTACCACAAAAAAAAAAAAATCAATTCACATATAGTTTATGTTAAATTGTCACAATTTCTGAAATAGTGGGAATTAAGATTTTATAATAGATTATAAGCCTTCTTGCACACTTACCATCATATTTTGCAACATATATGAAGTCTGAGCCAGATACTGGTGGTTCATGCCTATAATCCTAGCTATAGGATCAGGAGGATCAAAGTTCGAAGCCAACCCTGGGTAAATAGTTCCCAAGACCCTATTTTGAAAATACCCAACACAAAAAAGGGCTGGTGGAGTGACTCAAGCGGTAGAGCACCTGTCTAGCAAGCGTGAGGTCCTGAGTTCAAATTCCAGTACCACTCCAAAATAATATAGGCCCAGTGTGGTGGTACTTGCTTGTGTTCCTAGCACCTGGGAGACTGGGGCAAGTTCAAGGCTAGCCTGGGCTACATAATGAATTCTAGGCTACATAGCAAGACCCTGTCTCAAAAAACAAAAAAAATTATCTGGGCACTGGACCTGAGTTCAGGCCCCAGCCCTAGTACCGAAAAAAAAAAAAAATCAGCTCTTGCAAAATTGTGAGAAAGATGAATTTTATCTTTTGTCCTAAATTTTCTCATTAAGGCAGTGTAAATATTGAGTACCTGCTACGTGCTATGTGCACATATTCTAGGTAGGAGCAAGGGTATACTAACAGTGATCAGCAAAATAAAGAGGTTCTTTTTTTTTTTTTTTGGTAGTACTGGAATTTGAACTCAGGGTCTCACACTTGCTAGGCAGGCACTCTATAGCTTGAGCCACTCCAACAATCCTTTTTTTGTTGGGTATTTTTGATACAGGGTCTTGCGAACTATTTGCCCTGGCTGGCCTTGAACCTTGATCCTCCTGATCACTACCTCCTTGGGTAGCTAGTATTACAGGCGTGGACCACAACTCCTGGCTGGAAGCTCTTTTCTATAGTAGGAAAACATTAAAAAAAAAAAAAAAGCATTGATTTTGGAAGAGAATATTCTGAGCAGAGTAGCAAAGAGTTGTGGCGGAGTTTGGAGAATTCCTGGAACAAAAACAAAGCAATATGACTGGAGAGCAATTGTGCTATGGGGATAAATGGCATGTAATAAATCTGGGGAATGAGGCAGGGCCAGAGCACTCAGTGCTGTGTAGGTATTATTTGAATTTTGTTTCAGGTGTTAAAAAAAAAAAAAGCGTTTTGAAGGTTTTAAGTAAAAATGTAATACCACTTCATTAATATTTAAATTTTGTTAAAAAAATCACTCTTCCTGCTCTTTAGAGAATATACTATAAAAAGAGAATAAGCCATTGCTGTAATATTTGTAAGAAATAGTGGTGGCTTAGACAAGGATGGCAAGGAAGAGATTCAGGATAGATTTGGGATCAGAACTAATTAGATTTATTAGTGGATTGGTTGTGAAATAGAAGGAAAAGATCAGAATAAAGGATGACTAGATATTTTTGGCAGATCACTTAAGTGAATGGTATCTACAGTTTTCTGTTCCCATAGTCTCCAAGGCCTCTTTCTCTTTATTTAAATGCATAGGGCTCTGGGCGCTCTACTTTTTTTCTTTTTCAAAATCAGCACTCATATTGGTAAGGTTTAATGTGTTATTTCACAGTATATATTTTCCTTGTAACTGGCAGTAATGTCAATGAAATAAAATGCTGACACAAATTTAAAACCTTCAGTAAGCCAACCAGAAGTAGATATTTGGAGGAATAGGAAGCATGTATAAAGTATTGCATTATAGGCATGATATAAAGTCTATTGTCTACAGTTGTTACTAGGAATAAATGTTGAAGCAGAACAAAGAATTTTTTTTTTTTTTTAGTGGTACTGGGTTTGAACTCAGGGCTTCACACTTGCTAGGCAGGTGCTCTGCTGCTTAAGCCGTGCCCTTAGCCCAAATTGTTTTGTTTAGCTGGGGATTGAATCCAGGGCATGTGCTCTATTGCTGAGCTATACTCCCAGCCCCTGAAATGGTATAAAAAATTTTTATGATCCACCATGAAAAACTATTTTATAGAATACAAGTAAGATTTTTGTTTTTTGTTGTATTTCAGCTAAGGATGGTCGTTCTAGCTGTAAGTATTTTTAAATTGTATGTTTTTTTGAAAGACTGTCAAATTTGGCCTAGTTTCATTAAATGACACTAAAACCATGCCACTTTAGTCAAACAACTAATCAATAGGAAAAATAATAAACTAATATTTGGGGGATCATTTTGGTTTTTGTTTTGTTTTGCTGAGTTTACTTAATACTTTAGTCTATACATTCAATTTAGTTCTTAATTTCAACTTACTTAATTATAAATTATTTTTGAATAGGTATACACCAATCCAGAAGACCCTCAGGTAAGTGTGCTTGACTTAGTAGAGAAACGTAATTCTTCTTATATCTGAAAATAGCACAAAATTATTTTAATATTTTACTTTTGCTTTAATCAACACACTTTAATACACACGTTTGAACCTTGTAAAACTCTTCTGAGATGATGCAGGGCTTGTATTGTTATGTTTAAAAAGATAAATACACTTACATTTGAGGTCATGTGACTGATCCTAGCCCACAAAGCTTATTAACTGTTAGAAATAATCTAAATTGCCTGACTTCTGGTTCATTACAATATTCTTTATCTGGAATTATGAAAGGACTTGAGTTTCAGGAATTTATGCTCCTTAAACTTTGAATATTTATTCCAATCGAGTCACATCCACCTATTCATCTCACAAAGGAGAGGAGTTGGGCACTGGTGGCTCACATCTGTAATCCTAGCTACTTGGGAGGCATAGATCAGTAGATCCAGGGTTGAAGCCAGCCAGGCAAATAGAGCTCCAGACCCTATCTTGAAAATATCCAACACACAAACACACACACACATAGCTGCTTATTCTATATTAAGCTTTGTTCTTTGGGACTTTGTGTGGGCAGTATCCCTTATTATCACAACCTTCATGAAGTAATTATAGTTACCATCTCCACTTTACAGATTAGGAAATCTAAATATAAGGTTTCTTACCTAAGGCCATGTGGCAGACTAGAAAGAACCAGAATTTGAAGGTAGGAAGACCAGCTCACCATTTTGATACTAATCATTACACTACAGGTGTTATAACTCAGTAATGAAGAAGCAGACTTAAACTGATCTTTAAAAAAAGTTGATCTCTATCCCTATGTGAGCACTGACATGTAAAGAAAGCAAAGTATTCAAAGCTTTAGGAGGGCTGGAGTTGTGTCTTTTCTTTGATACTCATGCTGGCAATTAATGCTTAATATGCCCAAAGTTGCAAAGCAGATTATTCAGGCAAGGCTATGAATTAATTGATTGTTCAGAAAATGTTTATTATGTATGTTTTATAGATGTGCATTTTTCTATCAGTAAATGAACAGTCTTACTGAGATGCATTACCAATATTTATTGACTATTTACTGTTTCAGGAACTTTATTAAAGGCTCTATAAATAATCCCATTTGATAAATATTTAGAATCACCAATAACATAGGTACTGTCTTCAATCCCTTTTCTAGTGAGGGAAACTAAAGACTTAGAAGGCTTAAATGGCTTGCCTGTGGTTACAGTACACCAAAGATTTAAACCCTGTAATTTTAAAGCCTGTAATCCCAGTGCTTTGGGAATCAGAGGCAGGAGGATTACAAATTGGAGGCCAGCCTTGGCTAAGTAACAAAATTCTATCTCAAAAAAATAAGAAAACTAAACTAAATTGAAAACAAATCCTGAGTTTAGTGTTTGTGTTAATTTTCTATTGCTGTAATTGAATACCAGAGACTGGTTAATTTATTCAGTCCATGGTTCTAGAAGCTAGGATCTAACATTGAGGGGCCAAATCTAATGAGGGCTTTCCTACCGGTAGGGACTTTCTAGAAGAGTCCTGAGGTGTCACAGGACATCAAATGGTGAGAGGAGTGCATGCAAGAGGTAGAGCCAAATGGGCTTTTATTATAGACCCACTCTGAAGATAACCCATTAACCCATTAATCCATTAATCCATGAATGAATTAATCCATTGGATGCCTTATGACCTAATACCTTATAGGTCTCTCCTGAGAGATTACCTAGCAAGCATAAGGCTTTGAGTTCACACCCAGTACTGCCAAAATACAAACAAACAAACAAAAACCAAAACAAAACCAAAGTTTCTCCTCATCTTACCTCTTAATACCTTACAATGGGGCTTAAATTTCAACTTGAGTTTTGGTAGGGACATTCAAAACATAGTAGTGTCTTAATGTTATGTGCTGCTATAACAATACCTGAGACTGGGAAATTTATAACGAGAGATTTATTTCTTACAGTTCTGGAGACTGGGAAGTCCAAGATCTAGGGTCAACAGCATCTAGGGTCTTCTTGTTCCATCCTCCCATGGTGGAAGATGGAAGGGAAAGAGAGAGGGGAAGGAGAGGGAGAGGGGATGGGAGGAAGAGGTGGAGAGGAGTCAAATTCATCCTTTTATCAAGAACCCACTATCATGATAACTAACCACTCCTGTGGTAACAGCATTAATCCATTCATGAGGACATTGCCCTCTTGACCTAATTACCTCTTTTTTTTTTAACCTAGGGCCTTCTGTGTTCTATGCAAATGTTCTACCACTTGAGCCACATCCCCAGCCCCCTTCCCCTTTTTTAAAAATAGAATCTCTAATTTTGCTGGAACTGCCCTTGCTTCCTAAGTAGATGGGATTACAGGGTGTGCCACCATATCTGCTCTAATTACTTCTTAAAGGTACCCTTTAACACTGTTGCATTAACTTTGGGATGACACATTCAAAATACAGCATTTAGCCACTCTACTGAGGTATGGTTCCTTCCTTCCTTGCCTTCTGAAGAGTTCCTAACATTTAGTGTACATAACACACATTGAAATGAGTCAGAGAATAAATATCTCTCTCATGACAGAAGCCCCAAATCCCAGCCCATTGGAATTGATTATGAGCCCTTGAAAACTTCAGTGGACCAACATGGATATCAGAAAAACTATTGACTAAATGTTAAGAGTCATGCAAAAGCAGCATATAGCTGTTTAGAAGCCAGAAATATATTGTTAATTACATAACTGCAATGTTTTCTATTTAAGACAATTTCAGAATGTTACCAGTTTAAGTTCAAGTACACCAAAAATGGACCAATCATGGACTTTATGAGGTATTGTTCTAGTTTTCTTTTTATATTATGAGTTACCACTTATTCATTAATGCTGTTTAGCTAAACTTCAGGATTAATTCTGAAACTTCTCAAATCCCCAATCAGCAATAAAGATTTGGCTGTACAAAATGGAATAGTTTAGAATAGTTGTAAGAGAGGATTATGTGGCTAATTACATACTATTTTAATTGTGGAAAATGATTTGAATAATTAAAATATAATTAAAATCCATCATTCATTTCCTTTAAACATCTTATGTAAAATGCATTTTAGCTGGACATGCTGGTGCATACCTGTAATTCCAGCTCCTTGGGAGATGGAAACAGGATGATCTTGAGTTTGAGGCCAGCCTAAGGCAAAGTTAGCAACAAGACATTATATCAAAAACAAAATAAAAAATAAATATTAAATGTATTCATAAAATTAAGATTTGATTTACAATATTAATAGTGATGTTAAAGTTTTATAATAGTGATATTAAAATACATTTTATATTAACTTTCATCCTAGTAACCAAATGCTAGAAAAATAATCTGGAATAGTTAAAATGTGAAGTTATGATATTAGAAACCACAGCCTTTATGAAAGAAATTAATATTTAATTCTCTTTTAGTAAAAATCAAAGCAATGAATCTAGCACGTCATCTGCTGATACCAAGAAAGCAAGTATTCTCCTCATTCGCAAGATTTATATTCTAATGCAGAATCTGGGACCTTTGCCTAATGATGTTTGTTTGACCATGAAACTTTTTTACTATGATGAAGGTACTATTGCAGTATGTCCTGTTTTCGTTCCTACCTGAATGTTATACCATTCTTGAAACAGTTTCCATTCCAATTGTTTTCAGCATCTACATTATTATGTATTTTTTGACGTTATAAGTTCTGTATTTAATATCAGGAAAGAAAGATTTGGAAAAATAGGCTTTAAAATATACACTTCTCCAGTGATACGAACCTATGCATAATTAAAGAAATGAAACAGTGAGATACAGTTTTCACTTACCAGATTGGTAAAATTTGTAAATCCATCATTGTAAATCTCATCATTCTTGAGTGAATGTGTAATGCAACATTTTTAAAGGATAATTTGGTAGTATCAAACATTTAAATTTTAATCCTATAACTAGAAAAATATTTTGAGAATATACTTGCACAAGTATGCAAGATTGTTTATAAGAATTTTCACTGTAACATCGGCTAAAATAGGAACAAACTGGAAACAACTTGAGTGTCCTTGCTTGAGAAGTGAGTAAATTGTCATGCATCTATATAATAGAATACTGTGCAAGCTGTTAAAAATTAAATTGTGTTAAGAACAGCTAGGTTCACAATGGTATAATCTCATTTGTGTTTTTTATGGACATACATAGTTCTTAAACCTATATAAACTATGAAACATTGTATCTTTTGTTATATGCATGTTTTCTAGAAGAACATAAAGCAATGACAATAACAACAACTAAACTGGGTGCCGGTGGCTCCTGCCTGTAATCCTAGGTAATCGGGAAGCAGGGATCAGGAGGATCGCAGTTCAAAGCCAGCCCAGGCAAATGTTGTGAGCTCCTATCTTGAAAATACTCAACACAATAAAGGGCTGGTGGACTGGCTCAAGTAATAGAGTACCTGCCCAGCAAGAGTGAGGCCCTGAGTTCAAACCCCAGTCCTGCCAAAAAATAAAATAAAATAACAACAATTAACATTTACCAAATATTTACTGTGTACTAGTTATGTTATGAACACTTTACAATGCTTTAATTTTATATCCATAGTAATCTTACAAGGGTAGGTACTATTATTTTTCCCATTTAACAAATAAGGAAACCAAATCAAGAATTTGTCTAAGGTAATGCAACCAGTCAAAAAATTGAGATTACCTTTAGGAAATAAAATGGTTATTGGGAAATAGTAGGTGGGTGATTTTGAGTTTTCAGTGTATGCCTCTTTATACTGTTTGAAATTTGTCTGCATCCATTTTTATAACAGTAATACACAGTTCCTTCAGTTTTATGAATAGGACAGTTTATACTTACTTTTTTGCAGTTACACCCCCAGAATACCAGCCTCCTGGTTTTAAGGATGGTGATTGTGAAGGAGTAATATTTGAAGGAGACCCTATGTACTTAAATGTGGGAGAAGTCCCAACACCTTTTCATACCTTCAAAGTAAAAGTGACCACTGAGAAAGAACGAATGGAAAACATTGATTCAACTATATTATCACCAAAACAATTAAAAACACCACTTCAGAAAATCCTAATGGACAAAGATGATGTAGAAGATGAAAATTACATAAGTGTGAGTGTATTTTAAGAGTTACAAAACTAGTTACAAGTTGTATGTACAGTAATAACAAATGTTGACCTAATTCTGAAGACATTTAATAATTCTTCTAAACATCTGAATAAATACTGTACCATAATCATAAGCTCAAGGCTGGAGGGTACCTTAAGGAAAGTCTAGGCCTATGGTTTTACATTGTTTTTTACTTTAAACCAAAATTATACTCAGAATAAATAAGTTATTTTGTGTAGTAATTCTAAGATCATTTTTATATTTAGCAAGCATAAGATAGTTGTAGTTTTTTATTTATCCTTCACAATTAAAAAACTTGTTCATAAATACTTCTACCTATTTGTTTTAATTTGTTTTTGAAATATGCCCATTTTTTTCTTCACATAATTGCATAGGATGATTTTGACTTTGAAACTAAAATGGGAGAGCAGAAAAAAAACTTAGGAACTTCTGAAATGAGAGGTAAGAAGTTAACAAAAATGTAAATTAACTACCAATTCAATTTTATGTCATTTTAGCATATTTTTTTCTTTTACAGAATCAAATTTAGTATGTGAAGAATATGAAATTATGAGGTGTAAAGAAAGTCCAAATATTTCAGTTGCTCATTCTCAGGTATAAACTTGAAAGTTCTAACGTGTGTGTGTGTGTGTGTGTGTGTGTGTGTGTGCGTGACAATACTGAAGTTTGAACTCAGCACTTTGCCACCTGAGTCATGCCTCCAGCTTAATTGTTCTTTAAAAAAACAGTTGCTTACATGCTTGTTTGTTTATTTCTCAGATTTTCTTATTATGGGTCTTTTAGAATAAAATGAAGTATTTAGAATGCTTATTGGTAGCAAAAACTGACATATGTTGAAAAGTTTTGAGTATGTTACTATGGATTTGTTTAGTAATAAACCCAAATACTATTTATAGAATCTCATATAATTTCATAGCTATAATAGATAGAATCTTACACAATTTATTCTGCCCTGCTTTATATTTACAAATGTAGCATATAATACATTTTTGTGGCCTTGGAGCATAACATGTTTAATTTTGTTTTCCGTATGCAATACAACTAAATTCTTAAATAACAGATTTAGGTAATACGAATTTGGGAATAATGGGATTGACAATTGATTGTTCACCTTCCTTTACCTATCCCCTTTCTAAAATGGGAGTGAGCTCAAATTCATATCTTCTGGAAAGGTAGTGCCCATGATCGTTTGGAATTGTCTTAGTTCAGTGAATGGTCAGTTGTGTACAGTATCCGTTTCACTATCTTTATTTTTGTGACCATATGATCCAACTCAAAATTAGTGGTTTTCATTAATTTACTAAGTTATATTTAACAAGATACTAAATTTTATGTGATTGGGTTCTTTGGACTACATTTATTATGTTATCAGTTTTACAGTTTTATTATAGTATGTTACTTGGTTTGTTTGGGGCTTTTTTTTTTTTTTTGTCAGTACTGGGGTTTGAACTCAGGCTTCATGCTTGCTAGGCAGGTGTTCTACCAGTTAAGCAATGCCACTAACTCTTTTTTGCATTGGCTGTTTTCGAGATAGGATCTCCCGAACTTTTTGCCCAAGCTGGCTTTGAACTGCAATCCTTCTGATTTCTACCTTCTGAGTAGCTAAGATTCTAGGCATGAGACTGGCACCTGGCTGTTACATGGTTTTATGTAATTTATTTTCTAGGTTGACCATTTAGTCAGTAAAACATCTGAACTTGATGTGTCTGAAAGCAAAACAAGAAGTGGAAAAATCTTTCAGAATAAAATGGTAAATGTCTCTTTAGTTTGCTTTCCATGCTCATTACATAATTCAACCGCATATATGAATTTACTGTTTCATTTATTGGACCAGTATTTATTAAGTGTATATTATGCGTCAGGTACTTTTCTAGACACTGAAGATAGAATCTGGTTAACACATAGTTTCTCATGTTAGCAAAAAGTTTGTAACTGGATGAAAACAGGTAACAATATAGGACCATTGTAGAAGTCTGAATAGGTTATATAGATGCACAAAAGAAAGGATGTTTAGGTTTTTTTTTCTTGGCAGTGTGGGGTCCTTGCATGTGCTAGGCAGATACTCTGCCACTTGAGCTATTTCATCAGCCCTTTTTGTGTTAATAATTTTTGAGATAGAGTCTCACTTTATGACCCAGCTGGCCTGGACTGCCATCTTCCTATTTGTGTTTCCCTGCCTAGTTGGGATAACAGGTTCATGACACTATACGCAGTCATTGGTTAGGTGAGGTCTTACAAAAACTGGACTGGCCTCAAACCACAATCCTCCTGATCTCTACCCCCTGAGTAACTGGAACTATAGGTATAAACCATCATACTTGGCCAAGAAAGTTTTGTTTTAGAGGTATTCAAGAAAAGCTTGGAGAAGTGATACCAGACAACCAAGGAAATTCCTAGAATTTTCGCATGTTCTGTCTTATAAATTGATTATCTTGATTAAGACATTACAAATTCATCTTTGTATATACCTTGTATAAAGTGAACATGCTTTTGGCATGAATTATACTAAAGAGAAATTCATATTTGAAGAAAAAAGAAATTTATATTTGATTTTAGATCTTTAAGTTACTCTCAGATATTCAGGGGTAGAGAAAAAGCATCCTGTAAAATAGGAAGTATTATATCCAAAGTTAAGGGAATGGATAGCTTAATGTATCAGTGATGTACTAGAATGTTTCTTCCCAACTCCTCATTCAATTGCATCATGTTGATAGCTTGAAATTAGACAGGGTAGGAGTGTTCACAGCATGGAAATCAACAAATGCCTCAAGGTTTGTTTCTGTACCAAATTGACTGTAAACCATTTACCAGAATACCACTGATTATATTACCCTTTTTAAAGTATCTTTTTCTTCCCACATTCTCAATGGGAAAGTTAGAACTGGCAAAAGGCAGCATTCAGACTAATAGGCTGATAAATGCAAGATAAAGAAATGACATAGAATTATTACTTCCAGTAGCAAATGTGCTTCCTAGCTACCTTCCATTTAGGATGAATATCTTTTACTAAGATATAAGGAGAAAAAAATTATTAGGCAGAATTTCCTTATAATGTAACATTAAGATACTTTGGGAACATAAATTCATTTCTGAAGTTTTGCATGCTTTTGGATATGAACTGTCAGCCAGAGTATTCCTGATTTTAGTAATGATTGAATTATGACTAGGAAAGGTCAAAATATAAAAATATTCAGTAATATATATTTTTTGAGGAACTTATTATTGGAAAAGACATTTAAAGCATGAGAAAAGAAGTGTGTAGTCAAGTGTGGTGGTGTATACCTGTAGTTCCAGCACTTGGGAGGCAGAGGCAGGAGGATTGAGGTTTGAGGCCAGCCTAAGCTATGTAGTGAGACCTGTTTCAAAAAGAAATTGAAAAAATTCTGTTTGTTTTTTTGAGTTGCAAAGTGACAGAGTTTTATTAGGAAAGGAAAGGAAAGCACGAGAAAGAGCAGAGACTCCCCTATGGGAGGGGCTGGAGGAAAGCAGTCTAAGCTCAGTTCTGTTTACCTTAATGTAAAAAAAAAAAATGTTCTTTTAGAGAATAGTAATATGTTAGTAATTTGTCATCTTCCAAAATTCATTTTAATAACTACATGTATGATATTAGTCACAGTAAGTGAAAGATAGAAAAATCTGAATGTCTATCAATAGGTGAGTGGATAAAGGGTGGTACAGCTCTACAGGGGAATATTATTCAGCCATGAAAAGAAACGAAGTACCAATACCAATACATGCAACAATTTGGATGAACCTTGAAAATGTGTGCTAATGAAAGAAACTAATCACAAAAATCTGCATGTCATATGATTCCATGCATGAGAAATAATTTGGAAAGCTATTGAGTTAGAAGCCCTCAGGACTGTTGAGAGGTTAGAGGAATAGGAGAATGATAACTGAAGGACATAGCTCTTCTTTTTTGAGCTGATGAAAATGTTAAAATGGACTGTGCTGATAAGTTGTGCAGTTCTAAATATACTTAAAATTATTGAATTATACACTTAAATAAGTAAATCATATAGTATGAATTATGTCTTAAGAAAGCTGTTTTTAAAAACTACATGTAGTTATGTAAGGTCGAAAAATCAACTGTTGGCTGCTCTTTGAGAAATAACCAATTTGTAATTATTCTCTCTTTGTGGAGGTAAATGGAAATCAACCTGTAAAATCTTATAAAGAAAATCGGAAGAGATGTCAACTTGAACCTGTGAAAACAGTAAGTCTTCTGATATGTATAGGTTGACTAGAATGGCAAGTGTCAGAATGCCATTAGCATAAATTAAAATAATAAATTTGATCATATCATCCCTGAATATACCTCAGAGCTCAGATAATCAAATCTTGTTCAAATGTATTTTGTTTTAAATAATGCACTGATTTTGAAATAAAATGCCATATGTTGATTTATTAATTTTTTCCATTTTTTTGGTTATAAATAGCTACTATCTCATTCCATGAGTGATTTTTCAATGAATGATGTAAAGCTACTAGAGGAATTTATAAAATAAATAAAAATCAGTATCAGGAAAAATATGAGTAGAATGAAAACAATAACATTATAAGAATATTCTGGGCATTTTATTTATATGCAATTAAAATTGGGCCACAAATTTGATCTGAGCTATCTAGAGCCAAAACTAAAGTAGAAAAAAGAAAAGTTACCAAATTCATGCATTCTTAAAAATGTAGTACCTCCTCCTAATATCTCAAGAGAATGAAAACTTCCTGACCAAAATTCTATAGTTGTTTTATCTTTGGAACTTTAGTTTACCAAATCAGATAATGGACTTGTCATTTTTAAAATACTTACTATTTTTTTCAACTAGAATGTTTGGTATTAATCCATTAAAATTAGACAATTGAAGGGTTGGGGATATGGCTCAGAGTGCTTGCCTAGCATTCATAATGTCCTGGGTTCCATCCAGAGCACCAGGAAAAAAAAAATGGACAACTAAAAACTTAACACTGTTTTTAAAAGTGAAATGTTAAAAGGGTAATCTCAAAAATATAGCTGATTAATACTATTTTTAATATATATACTTAAGAAGTGAATGAAATAACTTTACATTCCATTAGTACATTAAGTTCTTTAATTCTCCCAGTGTTCTAAGCCTTGATTTTTTTTTGTACAAAATAATAACCCAATTTGTTATTCTTGGTTTAACTTTTTCCAGGAAAATCAAAGTTCAATAACTCAGGGAATCTTGTCAGGAATTCCCTAATTCATTCTCCCATTCAGTTATATGTGCACACTGGGGCTGGGGCTTTAATTCAACAGTAGAGTGTTTGTCTGTTCTGCATGAGGGCTTAGGTTCAATTCCCAGCATCACACATATACAAAAAAAAAGAATATAACCAAAACTGTACAATGAATGTCCAATATCTATCAGATATTTGTACCAGAGTACAAAAGCAAGACATGATTTATTTAAATCTTACATAGTCCCAAGCTAGAATGTTTTTCTGTTTGTAATTAAATTCTGTTTTCCCTTCTCATTCTAAAATAGTTATTTAAAGGATGCAATGTTAAATCTTATCTAACCTTTACATCCTTTGACTATGTACTTTCAGCAGCCATCAGAAGGTGTACTTATGTCATTAATAAATTGTACACTACTTTATTTACTATTTTCCTGTGGTATTATGGTTTGAACTGAGGGCCTCATATTTGCTAGGCACGTACTGTACTACTTGAGCCACTGCACCAGCCCTATGGTATTGAGTTTTTTTGAGATAGAGTCTCACGAACTATTTGCCCAGGCTGACTTCGAACTGAGAGCTTCTGATCTCTGCCTCCTGAGTAGCTAGGATTACAGAGTTACAGTCTCGCTTCATTGTCGAGGCTGGTCCAGAACTCACTAGGTAGTCTCCAGGCTGGCCTCAAACATGTGATCCTCTTGCCTTAATCTTCTGACTGCTAGTATTACAGGCATGTGCCACCACTCCAAGCTAAAAATATTTTTTGTTTTGTTGGCGGTAGCGTTCTGAGTATCAAATCCAGGGCTTTGCGTGTGCGAGGCAAGTACTGTACCATTGTTACATATATCCTCAACCCTTTTACCCTACATTTAAAGAACCCAGGTATACTATTTTACTAGAAAATAGGTATAATTTTTATTTAAAGAAGATACCTCAGAGACACAAAAATAGAAACAAAATTAAAGACATACAAACCAGGAAGTATTCTTAGTAGTTGTTTTCTTTTGACAGGTCATCCATCACTTTGATTCTTCTAGTGAAGAGCCAGTGCCAAAAAGGAGAAAATTTAGTGAACCAAAAGAACATATATAAAAATTATTTTTTTCTTCTGGACATTTGCAAAGTTCTTCTCAACATTTAAACTAAAAGACACTGTATTACTATTTTAAGGTGTGTTTTCCCTACCTCTGAAAATTTATTTGTAATTTTAAGCAACTCCTACTCTAAAATGAAGTTTTTAAGCTGACTATTGATCTTACCTGAGATAAAGCCAAGAGAATTTTTGAATAAAACCAAAACTACAAATATCATAACTGGTTCTGTTCATTATATACTGAATATTGATCTATCTTGCATTTTAGTGGACATTTTCTTTAAATATTTGCCAACTTTTTAAGGCCTTCTAAAGCCACTTTTGAAACAAATAATGTTTATTTTGGCATTAAAATTTTGTAAGGATTCACTTTTTAACTTATGTTAAAACTATACCATTTAACTGGCTGTTTATCATTGTATTATGACAATGTTCTTCAATATTTTGATATATGTGTTAACATGATAATATATAATGTACAACTTAAAAATTGCTACTTTTCTTTTTTTTACATTTTTTTTTACTACAGGAGAAAAAGATGACTGATTATTAAAACTGGCATTTTACCAGCAAAATAAAGCATTCAGTATGTAGGCTCTTTCATGGATTTTAATTTTTATTTAATTAGAAGAAAGTGTTTAGGTACTAATTTTGAGATCATTTTGGTAAAAATTATTTTTCAAGAGTTGAGCACACTTCTTAGAACTTTTGAATGTGAAAAATTGCTTTCAATGAGAATCCTGAAACCTAGTTCCAGCCTTGTTGTTTCCTTTGCTTTAGAAAAGAAAACAGTCTGTTTGCCTCTTGTAGTTTCAGCAACCATATTCCAAAAACATACTTTAGCCATGGACTTGGCAGTAACAAGCCCTGTATAAGAAATGTTGATATGTGCATGATGGTAGAAACTTACCCATCAATCCTGTTAAATGTAAACTAACCTTCAAAAACTGACTCAGATAAAGTGTTTCTAGAATTGTCAAGTCAGGGTTTAGCTATCAGAAACAACCAATTTTAAAAATGTTTGTTTATTCTTGAATCCAACACTTCTCATCCAACTGCCCCAGTATGCACTGTTACAGTAACACACCTGCTACATTGAAATTGGCCAACAGAAACCTTTCACGATTGGCAGCCCTTTTTAGCTTACTGGACATTTTGATTGGCTGACTTAATGGGGGTGGGGAGCGTAGCCTTCTTTTCTCTCTTCCACCAAGGTTCCTTCATTGGATTAACCAGCTGTCAGGTTGAACCCAAACCTACCTACTTTTGATGATGTTTGTCTGGATCGCAACACAATAGCACTGGAGAGCCTCCCCTTGTAAGCTCTGATTGGCTGGGCTCAAACTTGGGGGTTTCTGATTGGTCCAATGAAGAAACACCAAGGTAGGTTGCCTAGTGATCCTGAGGAAGCTGATGTGTTATTCCCTCTCTGCATCGAAGGATCAGGAAGTTTGTGCTCTCTGCGTGGCTGAGAAGTTTTTCACCTACTAGGACGAGGGTGGGGTGGGGGGAACAGGTGTCCTCCCAAAATAGAGCGCAAGCCGCAGCCTGCTTCCAGCTGTAACCCGGGAGTAACATCAGGTAAGCAACGGGAAAATTACATTTCCTAACCTCAAAAAAAAAAAAAAAAAGTCTCTCGCTCTCTTTTTTTTTTTTTTAAATTGGGGAAAGGGTGTTTTTTGTTTTTCCAAGGATTTTTAAATGGTAAATGTCCAAGGGAAATAAATCCTCAAAGAAAATTCCTCTTTCCAACACCCCCCCCCCACCGCCAAGGTTTAAAGTTTCTTGTATTGGTTTAGGATATAATCCCAATAAAAAGCTAGATAATACCCTAAAAGCATTTAGTTTGTGGTTCATTTCCTCCTTCAGTTTTCTCGTTCCCACCAGACGTAATAATTGAAATATATATCCTTGTACAAAGAAGTGTTTGTAAGTCACTTCGTTTGTATTTTCATTTTAAATGTTCACATTCTTTGCTTAGTATTCATTTTAATCGTACATATTTATCAAGCAGTTTACAACGTTAAAGATGGGCTAGTTGCTATGAAGAGTAAAAACCCAAGAAGACAATATTACTGCCCTCAAGAAGTTTACAGTTGAGACAGCCATACCAAAAGAGAGACTATACTAAATACTTAAAAGGAAGTAAGTATAAATAAAGTTCTGTGAAAGTACAGCTGAGGGAGAGAAAATTCTGGCCATCGAGTGTATAGGTAATGCAGAGAGATTCACTTTAAGGCTTCTTAATAGGCCTTTGAAGTATGATAAAATGTAGAGAGAAAGAGAAAAGGAGAATCCCCAAAAAATCAAGGAGCAGAGGCAGAAAAAAAGCGCAAGACATATTTGAGAAAAGACTTGACAACAGTACATATTGGGAATAATGGGAAATCCTGCTAGAAGGTAGACCAGTCCAGTCATAGCGGCTCTTAAACACTATTTTGATTGCAAAGATATTTTATATAATTGCTGACTTTAAATATTTGTTTTTATATCTTAAAAATTGACATTGATTTGTATTAAATTATATATGTTGACTTTAAACTCTTATCACAGATGATTTAAACAGATGTAGTGCAGGTTATAAAAGGGCATGTGCAGTTGGGCACTGATGGTTCACTCCTGTAAACCTAGCTACTTGAGAGGCTGAGATCAGGAGGACCATTGTTCAAGGCCAGCTTGGGTAAATAGTTTGGGAGACCCCCATCTCCAAAATAACCAGAGCAAAATGGACTGGAGGCATGGCACAAGTGGTACAGTGCCTGCTTTGCAAGTGCAAAGCCCTGAGTTCAAACCCCAGGCTCACCAAGAAATAAATAAATAAAATAATAAAAGGGCATGTGCTTTGATTTTTCTCCCCCTTGCAGGCTGGGTATCAAGCCCAGAACATGCTCTAACACTGAGCTACATTTTAGTCCCCTTTTTTTAAATTAAATAATTTGCTAATTTTTTAACATTCTGATTAGTGCTTTTTGTTGGTAGCTCTTTGTGTATTCACAAGATAACTAGCTAGGGCTAGAGATGCTAAGTATACTGACTGTTGAAATTATTACACATGATTTTCTTTGAACACTCCCTAGCCTAGTGACCTCCAAATGAACACATGAAATGAGTTGGGAAGAAAATATAAAAACGTATTTCTGTTTCATTTTTCTTGTTCTTTTCTACTTTCTATTTTTTTGTGTTTTATAGTGTACCATTGAATATTTACAGAAATTATATGTAAGTTATTGTATGCATTTGGTATCTGAATGTTTTTTGCTTTTCCGTCTTACCTATCTTGGGGATCGACTTTGTGAAATAGGAGTAACAATGGTGGAGATTCATTCCTATGTTACAGGTTATTCACAAGAAATCAGCATGCTTAAAAAAATTATCATTTTGACTTGACTTTAGAATTACTGATTTGATCTCTTGTTATTGCTATCTGTGGAAATTAAGCTGTTGTACTTAAAGATACTGTGGTACACACTCAGTTTTTCCAGTCATTACTTCTTCCTTCTAGAATACACTTTAGTATGCATATATAAATATCTGTTTGTGTGCTTATGCAAATAATATTTTTCACCACTCCCTCCAGAAACAGGTGAGAATGACCACTTTAACTCACCGGACCCGTCGCACTGAAGTAAGCAAGAACTCTGAAAAGAAGATAGAAAGTGAAGAAGACACTAATCAAGAGAGGAGTCCAGATAATGAAGACTCTGGAGACTCTAAGGATATCCGTCTCACCTTGATGGAAGAAGTATTGCTCCTGGGATTAAAAGATAAAGAGGTAATGCGGTTAGGTGGGCTGGGCTATCTCAAAGACTCAAATATTGGAATGTTTTAGAAAACAATCTGATGGAATACTTTTGTTAATGATAAATTGACCTTAAGATTGAACTCCATCTTGGGGCTGGAGCTATTTGAGAGGGTTTCTGATACTTAGAGGAAAAGATCCAGAAATATTTTCTTTGATATAGTTTAATTGCAAAATTGTGGAGGATAACACAGCATAAAGTTTTGTACTTGTAGTTTCCTAAGTTAGTTTGATGGTGAAGTAATAACCTCTTATTAAAATAGGAAAGAGAGCGCACACATTCAAGTCTTCTCTTCTTGAACTTTGAGGAGAAAAAGTCTTAAATGAAAAGACAAGGAACGTGATAGCTGTTTTAGAAAGAAGAATTTCAGCCAGGTGCTGGTGGCTCATGCCTAAATCCTACCTATTGGGGAGGCTAAGATCCAGAGGATTGCAGTTCGTGGTCAGCCCAGGAAAATAGTTTGTGAGACCCTTTATACAAAACAACCAGGGCGGGGGTGGGGGCAGGGGGGAGAAATGAACCAAGCCTTGTATGCACATATGAATAATAAAAGAAAAAGAAAAAAAAAAAACAACCAGGGCAAAGTGGACCGGAGATGTGGCTCAAGTGGTAGAGTGCCTGCTTTTCAAGTGTGAAGCTCTGAATTCAAACCCCAGTCCCTCCCAAAAAAAATAATCTCAGCTTTCCTTTCTAAGTTTTTCTTTGTTAATAGTAGGATTGATCCTGAGATAGTTTTGTGATATATTATCAAAGTATTTTCTATTTTCCTGGCTTTTCTAGTAGTAGTGTGTATTACCCTTCATTTGTAATTTAACTTTATATTTTCTCATCACTCTTCCCTCAGGAAGAAGCTGTGAAGGCATATAGATGTAATAGGTTAAATCTGTTTTCCAGGAAAATCTTGAGTAAATATCAAAAACAACTGTGTTATTGTCCTCACTTTTGGAAACTTATAAAATAGAAAAATGCTGTGCTCTCTGTGGCAGTACATCTACTGAAATTGGAATGATACAGAGATTAGTATGACCCTGCGTAAGGATGCAAGTTTATGAAATGGTCCATGTTTTTTTTTAAATTTAAAATTCACTGAGGGAAAAAAGCATAAAAAAATATCAAATCTAGAATGTCTATTCCCATTTCCTGCATGGTGGGCAGGAAATTTCTCCCCACTTTTATCCTGTTATACTAAATTCCTTTCCCCAAACTGTGAAAGAATATTTGCAGCACATATGACAGACTAAAGGTTGTTTTCTATATATGTAAGGAGCATTTAAAAATCAGGTCATAAAAAATAAAGCACCCAATAAAAAAATGGGCAAAGGATGTAAACATTAAGAAGTCTTTAAAAACAAGAAAAAAATGCTAAATTTGGTACTGACAGAGTGGCTTAAGTGGTAGAGTGCCTGTATAGTAAGTGTGAGGCCCTGAGTTCAAACCCCAGTTACTGCCATTTAAAAAAAAAAAAAAAAAAGCTAAATTTGACTTTGAGTAATTGTCCTTAACTAGAAATGATTTTTTCTTTTCTACATTGATTCCTCAATTTGGGAATACCCTTGTTTCTTAGGCTTTATAGATTTTATTTATTTAGTATGTCCCTTCCCTCTCTCCCTCTCTCCCTCTCCCTGTCCCCACCCCCACCCCTCTCTCTTTCTCTGTTTTATTGAATTACCAAGTTGAAGAACTTGTCTGTATTTTTAAAAACTAATATTGAGATATGCCCATATATACTTGGCAAGAAACAGGTATATCAGAAAATCTTGCCCAGGCATATATTTTCTGTTTACTGAGAAAGTTGATGAAGTTCCTGTTCAGTAAACAGCAGATAAAATGAAAAGGCAAAGCCAACTAAGAGATAGTTAAAATATATTAATAAATATTAGGTGGTGTAAATAGAGTTTCAAGATGTTTACATAGTGATTAGGGAACATTTACTGACTAAAGAGCTAAAAGTTGTTTCATTTGTTTGGTTTGGTTTGGTAGTGAGTGCTAGGGATTGAACCCATGGCTTTGCCTATGCTACGCAAGCATTCTACCACTGAGCTACATCCCCAGCCTGTTAGTTTTGAATAGGACTGATTAATTTCCTGCTGACCCTAAATACTAGAATTTTTGCTTCTGTGCTATAAAGAAACTGCCTTTGCCTTTGTGTGTTTATAAATCTGTAATAGTTGATACGTAGACCTGTGGTATCCGTGTATGTATGGTTCCAAGGAGAGTGTTAATGAGGAAGAACTGAATGCTCAGGATGCAGTGTTCAGTGCCATACTTCACATGCTGGATTCATTTTTCCAAATAATGCTGCCTAACTTCCTTTAGAGACATTCCGCCTTTCAACAAATCTCAAGTTTTCACTTTATCACTTAAACTAAGTACATTTACTCTTCTCTTGTTTTGGGGAGCTATTTGCTTTTAGGGAGGCATATTTTCACAAAATTAAGGGTAGGAAAACACTTGGCAAGACTGACTGAGAGTTTGTCCACACAACTGAGTTGCTGCAGGAATTTAAAATTTTTGTTTAATTTTTTTTTTTGACCGTGCTTGGTCAAAACTACATGAAATAAATCCACAAGTAAGGCAGGCTTACTGTATAAATTGTAGAAAAAAAAAAAAGACTTCATTAAAAGCTATGATCATAGTTATTACTCAATATTAGTGATATGTTGGGTAAAATGGGCAGATAAAATTAAACACTTTTAAATTGCTCTAATTTATTTTTTATAGTAGTTGACAAATTTTTAGCTTTTATTTGACTCGAGAAGAATAATAGATAATAAATTCTTTGGTAAAATAAATAAGAGAGCTCAAACCTCTGACTTACAAAATGCCAGTTATATAACTATAAAGATACTAGATTGATTTCCAGCTCTATTTTCTTCTCATCTCCCAAATATTTTTATTTAATCAATATTTAGTGTGATTGGGGATATCACATCTCAATATTAGTTTTAGGCACATTACCACTATTCAAAATACTAAGGTAAATATAAAATAATATAATATATGGACCCTACCCTCAAGAAACTTGTGTCTAGTTAGGGAGACAAAAGATACATGCTTTTTGAAAGTAAACTTAAAGGTCCATCAACATTAGAAAAGACTGGCTCAGCCTTTCTGAGACCCCCCCCCCCCATAAGGGAGCTATTCTTCTCTTTCCTTTGTGCATAATAAATAAACCTCTGCTGTTTTGCTAAGAAAAGCTCACGCCTGTAATCCTAGCTATTCAGGAGGCAGAGATCAGGAGGATCAGGGTTTGAAGCCAGCCCAGGCAACTAGTTCCAGAGACCCTATCTCAAAAAAACCAATCACAAAAAAGAGTCGGTGGAGTGGCTCAAGGTGTAGGCTTTGAGTTCAAACCCCATTACTGCAGGGGGGAAAAAAAATAAACATAGAAAGTAGATGGTGATGTGGCTCAAATGGATGGAGTTCAATACCCAGTTATGTCAAAAAACAAAAAGACCAAACTTTTTTTTTTTTTAACTTTTTTTTTTTAATTTTTCTTTTATTATTCATATGTGCATACAAGGCTTGGGTCATTTCTCCCCCCTGCCCCCACCCCCTCCCTTACCACCCATTCCGCCCCCTCCTTCTCCCCCCCCAATACCCAGCAGAAACTATTTTGCCCTTATTTCTAATTTTGTTGTAGAGAGAGTATAAGCAATAATAGGAAGGAACAAGGGTTTTTGCTGGTTGAGATAAGGATAGCTATACAGGGCATTGACTCACATTGATTTCCTGTGCGTGGGTGTTACCTTCTAGGTTAATTCTTTTTGATCTAACCTTTTCTCTAGTACCTGTTCCCCTTTTCCTATTGGCCTCAGTTGCTTTAAGGTATCTGCTTTAGTTTCTCTGCGTTAAGGGCAACAAATGCTAGCTAGTTTTTTAGGTGTCTTACCTATCCTCACCCCTCCCTTGTGTGCTCTCGCTTTTATCATGTGCTCATAGTCCAATCCCCTTGTTGTGTTTGCCCTTGATCTAATGTCCACATATGAGGGAGAACATACGATTTTTGGTCTTTTGGGCCAGGCTAACCTCACTCAGAATGATGTTCTCCAATTCCATCCATTTACCAGCGAATGATAACATTTCGTTCTTCTTCATGGCTGCATAAAATTCCATTGTGTATAGATACCACATTTTCTTAATCCATTCGTCAGTGCTGGGGCATCTTGGCTGTTTCCATAACTTGGCTATTGTGAATAGTGCCGCAATAAACATGGATGTGCAGGTGCCTCTGGAGTAACAGTCTTTTGGGTATATCCCCAAGAGTGGTATTGCTGGATCAAATGGTAGATCCATGTCTAGCTTTTTAAGTAGCCTCCAAATTTTTTTCCAGAGTGGTTGTACTAGTCTACATTCCCACCAACAGTGTAAGAGGGTTCCTTTTTCCCCGCATCCTCGCCAACACCTGTTGGTGGTGGTGTTGCTGATGATGGCTATTCTAACAGGGGTGAGGTGGAATCTTAGCGTGGTTTTAATTTGCATTTCCTTTATTGCTAGAGATGGTGAGCTTTTTTTCATGTGTTTTCTGGCAAAAAGACCAAACTTAATCAAAAAGGATAAAAATGAGCTGGGTGTGGTGACGCATATGGAGAAAATCCAGAGAAATCCTTTCTTTTCCTTTGTTCCCCCCCACACCCCCAAGCTACCACCAAGCAAAACTTGAGACCCTATCCAAAAAATAACTAAAGCAGAAAAGGGCTGGGGTGGGCTCAAGTGGTAGAGTGCCTGCCTAGCAAGTGTGAGGCTCTGATTTCAAACCCTAGTACTACAGATTGAAAACAAAGGGTAGAGACAAACCATCCATTTATTTAAATGAGTATAAATATATATTTTCATTTCATTGAATTTATCAAAGTATAATTTACATGCAAGAAAATGCATGTTGTTGGATGTGGTGGCTCATGTCTGTAAGCCTAGCTATTTGGTTCAAGGCCACCTTGGGAGGAAAGGAAGAAGGAGAGGAGCTCAGTGC